AAATAGAAACGTAATAGGCCCTAAAATAAGGCTTGCTCAAGTGCTCAACTATAAAACATAGCTCATAAGCTCAATCTAACAATCACCAACTTCAGGGCAACACCATAGGGCACATTGCACCCCCCCCCCCCAAACCCCGACTCGTTAACTGAGCAACAATACCCTCGTACTAGGTCATTCTTATGGGGCAAACTAATTTGAGGCATATTCTAAAAGTAATATCCGGTGAATTTTCTTAGTTGAACCACGTAGCACAAATAATGGATTAAAAGACATCCACTAAGCTCCTTTGTCCAGTTATAACTCCCTAATTACCTGTCAAGTTCACTAAGCTAAGTAGCAATAGCAAAAGCAAAACCATTACACTTACACAAAGAACATAAAACCCTCTAATAGCACACACCATAGCACACACCAGGCCACCATCTAATCAACATTAGAGGAGTATAATAATTATGCATCCATACAAGTATAATAATCATGGTTATATCCTCAACACCAAATTAAACCACCATCTAATTCCTGCTAATGTTAGTCATTGCATACCCAAGTACCCATGTCATTGTTGAACATATTCTACATTCAATTTTCAGATCAGCAGAAAATATGCACAACTCGAAATTAAAGAAGAAATTAAAGCAAACCACAAAGAACATATATAAAACCCTAAAGCAACGACTAACCCTAGATTGCGAAATTAATCAATAATACCTCGAAGCTGCTACAATGCAGTTGGAAAGTCAGAATGCGCTTCAATGGAGGTAAGAAAGCTCGACAGAATGCGCTTCAATGGAGGAGATTTATGGAGAGAAAGAGAAGAGTTGCGCGGCAATGGACGTGAGAAACCCAGAATGCGCTTCAATGGAGGACGACATGAAGGACGAGAACAATGGTGAGGGTCGTATGTAGGCGAGAACGAGAGAGGAAGAATAATTGATGAAGTTGCAGTAATGGAGGCGAGAAGAACAACAACTGGAAAGCAGGGGATGGAGAATGCGAATTGAATGGAATAGTGCTGAAGGAAAAAGAAGGTAGTATAAGGCGGGTTTTTTTTTTTAAAAAAGCCACCGGTTCGAACCGCTTCTAAAAGCACCTTTCCCACCGGTTTGTGTTGAACTGGTGGCAAATCTGTTTTCCTCCTTTTTTTTTAAACAAAAACAATTAGGATTTGGCACCGGTTTTTCAGGAACCAGTGGCAAAAGTGATTATCCAAAATCAAGCCCATTATTTTTCCCACCGGTTTTTAAGAACCGGTGGCAAAAGGGGGGTGGCTTTTTCGATTTTTCTACTAGTGAATCCTGTGTACAACACCACCCAATTTAGAAGAAGATTTCGTATGCAACGACCTTTGTTTGTACATATAATGAACAAGGTCGTTGAAGGTGATGTTTACTTCCAGCAGCGTAGGGATGCAGCTGGAAGGTTAGGTTTATCACCTCTGCAAAAATGTACAGCGGCGATAAGAATGTTAGGCTACGGCATGGCTGCGAACGCCGTGGATGAATACGTTCGGATCAGTGAGTCAACCGCTCGAGTTTCCCTTCAACGTTTTTGTACCGGGGTCATTGATCAGTTCGGAACCGAGTACATGCGAAACCCTATAACTGATGAATTGGCCAGAATACTGCATCAAAATGAACTGCGTGGTTTTGCAGGCATGATAAGCAGCATTGATTGCATGCATTGGGAATGGAAGAACTGTCCAACGGCTTGGAAAGCGCAGTACGCCGGTAGGAACAAGAAAGCAACGCTAATACTGGAAGCCGTTGCAGATCAGGATTTATGGATATGGCATTCCTTCTTTGGTATTCCTGGATCTTGTAATGACCTTAATGTCTTATACCGTTCCCCAGTGTTCGATGAGGTTCTGCATGGTCGAGCTCCTCCGGTAAATTTTACCGTTAACGGCCATGAATACAACATGGCATATTACTTAGCCGACGGTATTTATCCGAAGTGGGCAACTTTTGTTCAGGGTATCACAACCCCTCAACTTCAAAAAGATAAATTTTTCGCTGACCACCAGGCTGCTGCTCGAAAGGACGTTGAAAGAGCATTCGGTGTTTTGCAAGCTCGATTTGCAATAATACGAAAACCATCACTGGCGTACGATGAGGACATACTGCGAGACATAATGAAAGCATGTATCATTATGCACAACATGAATGTTGAAGATGAGCGCCACAACTACACTCGAGCCGAAGTTCTAAGAGCCTTCTACGAAGAAGATCAACAAGAATCAACACCAGCATCAACATCTACAACGCTACCGTTTGAATTCAACGTAGGCCGACCTACCAACTTTGACTTCAACGCATTTCTACAGCGAAAAGCTTCCCTCGGTGACAGAGAAATTCATCTATCTCTGAAACGTGATTTAGTCGAACATATTTGGCAACGATACGGGCCACGTAATTAGGGAGAAATTAGCACGACTTAAATAAAGCCAAGTACTATGGCGTAGCTACTTTTCCGTACGCAGTCGAGTTATTTTTTAATTGTTGTGTTTATTTTATTTCCTAAGTTTAATTACGCATGACGTTGCAAATGTAATTGGTTTCTAGTATTGTACCGCTTTTAAAATAAATAAAAATATTTAAGAAATTTTGAGCTTTTTTTTACAATTATTTCATATAACATACTTAATTTTACGACAAATTTTAACGATAAAAAAGACAAAAATAAAACAAAAAAGTTACACAAATTTAAACTAGTTTTTATTTATTTGGAGTAACATTGTTAAAATATAAATGAAATTAATAAATAAAGAAGTGTTGTGTAGGAGAGAGAAAGTAATGGTGGGGTATTGAAAAAGTAAGAGAGAGAGTGGTGGGTGGGCATTTTTTTTGCTCACCATTGGGAGAGAAAATGTGAAAAAAATTTGCCCATGAGCAAAACTGATTTGTTGAGAGATAAAGTGGGTAGAGAGAGAGTGGGTGAGCATTTTATTTGCTCACCATTGAGAGTGGTCTTAAAGGGTCATAATATAATTCTTTCAAAAAAGGTTGGTCAAGCTCTTAAAAGGTTAGAATTCTTATAAAATGAGACTAGGGGAAGGTTTGGAGTGAGATTAATACATGGATTCTAATAATTGGATTAAATAATGAGAATTCACTCAACAACATCAAATATTGGTGGGAAGAGTCACTCTTTTCCCATGATATGACGGCAAAGCCATGGAAATATCTCATTCAACCATGGAAACTCTCGACCTCAAAATCTTTTAAAAAAAATAATAAAAAAGTAATAAATAAATAAATAAAACTGTTAATTGAAGCGTGACTCAAATCCATCAGAGAATCGAAAAAGTTCGTTGATTATGAGATCGAACTTCACGAGGAACCCAAAAGCTCAAAGTTCTTGCCATCAGACTCCAACTTCACCATGAGTTAGTTTGTCTCAACACAATTCTATTACTTCCCCCATTCTAGTAATATTGCAACAACTGGAGTTTTGCACGATTCATCTTGCTTGTTTGACCACAAATTATGATTTATACGTAAAGTAAAATATAGTCATGTGGGGTCTTATTAGATCTGTCTCGAAAATTACTTTGACGATACAACAAGTTTTGCATGCCCCGGTTTACAAAAATTTATTATAAATCGGCGGCGGCACACGTGCGAGCTAATTTACTTTTTTTCCATAACAAAACACGCGAAAATCTCATACCTCAAAGTTAGCAATCGTAGAACAAAAATGGAGGAGAGAGAAAGTGAAAACATACAAAGAGAAATCGCGAAAACGAGTACCTTAGGGCTTCGATCATCAATGCAGAATTCATCAGCGAACTTCAATACCTCAAATTGCAGTAATCTGATCCACGAATTTCTACAAAAATAGAGGCAAATTGAAACTCCATTGTTAGGTGATTTTGAGAACTCGAATTCTTTTGTTGAAATCGATTTAAATCGATCGATTATAGAAGAAGAAGAAACAAAGAGTTTTGGAGATGAATTTTTTCCTATTTTTTACGATAGTAACAATACTGACACTGGAGGTAATCAAATTTTTGGAGGTAATCAAATTGACAATGCAGAAGAAGCAATTAACAATGCAGAAAATCAGGCGGTTCCTCGTAAATCATTTGATTCAAATTCAGAACAAACATCCAAATCAAATGCAACTAAAGGTAATTTCTATACAATCAGCCTTCTAATTAATCAAAATTCATCAATCTTCCATAATCGATCCATAATTGTTATTTTTGATATGAACTTATGTTACCTATAAGAATGCAACATTGATAAAAGTTACCACGAATTAGTCTTGATAAAATTCAAGTTGTATGCAAAAAAGTAACCCTTTGAATACACAAATTTTACCCTTTTTATGTATAAAAGTGACCCTTTGTACGCACAAATGTTACCCTTTTGTAAGCACAGATGTTACCCTTTGTATGCAAAAACGTTACCCTTTGTATGCACAGATGTTACCCTTTGTATGCATAAAAGTGACCCATATAAAACATAGTATTACTCCCTCCAATTTGATTTCTCTAAACATAATGATATGTTGCCTCTGGTTATCTGATATGTCTGTATTAAATCACAGATGCAAATCCAATTGATGCTTCTGGTTTAGATCTTAGAGGATCATTTGTTGGTGTGGTAAGAGAAACTTTTGAAGAAATTTTGGAATTGTATGAAAAACATGCTGCTATACTGGGGTTTTCAATAAGAAGACATACAACAAGATACTTCACACACACAGAGAAAGTAAGTGAGAAAAATTATGTGTGTTCTGCTGAAGGAAAGAGAAATTCAGGTGACAAGAATTTCTCTGTGTAAATGTAAATGGTTGAAATGGTTGATGAAGAGAATGTAAATGTGAAAACAAAAAAGCCAAGACAAATAGCCATTACACGATCTAATTGCAAGGCAGGCATAAGAGCGAAAGTAAATAAAGAAGGACAGTTTGAGGTGGTGGCACATGTTTTACAATATAACCACAAGCTAACAAGGTCATAGTGGCATTATTTGCATCGTTCTGAAAGAAAAATGACAGAAGAAAAAGCTGAAGCAATCAAAACAATGAAATCTTCAGGTCTGACTACAATGGACACTTACAGTTACATGGCTACAGAAGCTGGAGGAGAACAGAATGTAGGGCATAATGTTGTAAATCACCTGAATTTCTGCTCAAGGTTAAGAATAGAGAAAATTGAGGCTGGAGATGCTCAAACTTTAGTGAACATTTTAAATCAGGAACAACCAGAGGATCCAAACTTCTTTTTTAAAGTGAAGTTTGACAATGAAGGAAGAATTTCCAATATCTTTTGGAGGGATTCAATGATGCTAGAACACTATAGGATATATGGAGATGTGCTTGTCTTTGATACAACATACAAAACCAACCGATATAATCTTATATGTGCTCCATTTGTTGGAATAAACAATCACTGGCATAATTGTATGTTTGCATGTGCTTTTATTGGGGATGAAAAAACATAATCGTTTGTGTGGCTACTAGAAACCTTCTTGAAAGCTATGGAGGATAGAACACCAACTTCAATATTCACTAACCAGGACCAAGCAATGGCAAATGCAATTGAGCAGGTAAAAAGTTTATATTTACATGTTACCCTAACTAATAAGTTCTGACAACGTACAATATTTGACCATCAAACCACAAGTTACTCTTTTTAGTGCATGAAGTGACCCTTTTAACTGCATAAAGTGACCCTTTTATTTTTAATGTAGGTGCTTCCTAATACAAGGCATAGACTTTGTATCTGGCATTTGGAACAAATGCAATAACCAGATTTAGGGCTCTAAAAATAGATAAAGAGTTCAAGTATGCATTCAACCAGTGCTTAAAGTGGTTTTTGACAGAACAAGAATTTGAAGAAAAGTGGCAGGCAATGATGCAGAAATATGACATGACAGCACACTCTTGGTACAAAAGAGTGTACGAATTGAAAGAGAAATGGTATCCTGCCCTTAGTAGAGATTTCTTTTCAGCAGGAATCTTGTCGTCACAAAGGAGTGAAAGCACTAATCATGCTGTAGGATTCAAGGCAAGTAAAGCAACTACCTTGACAAAATTTTATACCATATTTAAGAAGACAACCAATCGTTGGAGAAGCACAGAGAAATATGATGAGTTTACCTGTAGCAAGTCAATAGCATTCACTTCATTTGCCACTGTCCGGAATGCTAAAGCTGCTGCACAAATAAAAAGTTAACTCAAAAGTACATAATAACACAAAATATATAGCAACTTAAATGTAGCTACGTGATTTTGGTGCACAGGTTTTCACTTTGTCACTTTTCAGAGATTTTGAAGAGGAGTTTGGATACTCTATGGCAACAAGTGTTCAAATGATAGGGAGAACTGAAGAATGTGTACTTTATCAAGTAACCCTAGAAGACAAGCCATGGTTTGCACATCAAGTAAACTATATACATGAGATCCAAAGTGTATGGTGTACTTGCAAAAATTTTGAAGCATCTGGATGGCTATGTTATCATGCATCAAAATTCTACATCTATATTCAATAATAAGAATACCAGACAGGTATGTTACAAAAAGATGGACTAAGTTTGCAAAAATAGAGGCATGGAATAGGTTGAAGAATCAAGATCCTACACAGCCATATATACCATGGAGGCAAACAATGATGAGGAAATACTACAATCTAATCTTAATAAGTCAAGAAAATGTAGAGACAAGAGCATTTATGGAAGAAAGCTTCAAAAATAGTCTAAAAATGGTGGAAGACTTACTTGCTACTGCTGCTCAGATAGAAGAAGGTGCAGAAGCTGCTTCTGACATTCATGATGTGGCAGACAACACACAGAGAAATAACGATGTTTCTTCGGCATCCAGTACAAGCACAAGTGTACCAACAATACTTGATCCTAAAAGAGCTATAAAAAAAGGAAGAAGCAAGAGATCAAATGGAGGGCTTGAAAAAGGCAAGAGAAAAAAGAAATCAGCACTGCCACCTCCACATTCAGAATTTGGATCAAAGACACCTAACATACGACTCTTTTAAGAATTTTTTATTACCAGCTTTAGAACATTTTTTTTTTATCATTATTATCATACTTTGTATTGTTATACTATTTTTTCTTTTTTTACTCTATGACTAGTTTATGTTAAAATTTGAATGAACAGAGTAAACGCATACCCTTTTGTGAACATAAGTAACCCTTTTTATGCACATAAGTTACCCTTTTCATGCATAAAAGTTACCTTTTCTACCAACAAAAGGTACCCTTTTTATGTTCAAAAGTTACCCATTTTATGCACAAAAGCTACCCTTTTTATGCACAAAAGTGACCCCTTTTTTCAACAAAATGGACCCCATAAAAAACTGAATTGAACCTTTTACCTATATGAAGTAGCTCTTATACCCGCATGAAGTGACCCTTTTTAGTGCATGAGTGACTCTTTTTAATGCACAATAAAAAAGAAAGATATACACAAAATAACATTTCAAATTACTTAATGTATGCACATACATTCAATTTTCAAAACAAAACCACCAAAACCTACATTCAGTTTTTAAAAAAAAACCACCAAAAACTATACCATAGAAAACCTAATTACGTCATTAAACTTGATGTATGCACATACATTAAGTTTTCAAAAAATACTATTACACCTAATCACTAACAAGTCTGTTCACTCTTTCGAAGGAGTGTACTTCTTTGTTTGCTTTTTTGCCCTTTTTTCTTTGGGCTTTTCTTCTGCTGCCTTTGCCTTCTCCTTTGCTTCTTTCCTTTCCTCAGCTTCTTTCTTTTTCTTCTCGGCAATTGCAGTATTTCTTCTATCTTCAATTGCCTTGACATATTCAGCATTTTTCTTCCTCTCATTGAACTTGGCTAATTCTACCAAGACGTCAGCCCTGGATTCACCTCATATCACACAATACAAGTACAGACCTGTCCACATAGAAATTTTCTTCCAGCAATCTCACAACATAGAGAAAAATTTATCAATATGATACTTAAACATCAAAAAGGGTAAAACAAAAGACAAATAGATGAATAGTTACTGTTTTGAGTTCATTTAATATGAACGATTCACCAACAAAATGGAGCATGTGATACATGACAAACACTGCACAGTCCATGTTGTTAATCTTATTCTTTCTCCATTCCAACTCAACAATTTCAAACTTATAGGAAGGTAGCTGAGTACTCTTTGGATGATTTCTTTTGCCAAGAAAAGCATCCAATTGAACACACTGATAAAAATATAAATGTTTAGAATCCATTGACTACAAAAAAAAAAAAAAAAAAAAAAAAAAAAAAAAAATTGAATTGAAACAATAAATCAATAGGAACATACCACACGAGAAGACAACTCTCTAAAGTAGTCAAGAGTAGAATCACGCCAAATTATATTGTCAAGATAATAAATCAACTCTTTTGCATGATCAACAACAAACAAAACGTAGTGATCCTCAAGAAGAATAGGAATATAGATCTGAAACAGTAAAATTAAAAGTGGTTTAGATAGAGCATTTCACAAACATAACTCTTTTAGGTATGATATTAGTTATAGCATGAAATATACCAGTTCAGCATCCATTATATCACATTAAGAATTCTCGTAGCAGACCCACCCTTCCATATACCGTGCAAATCGTTAACAGCATTAGAAATGTCACCTTGCCCAATGTTGTCACAAACATGCAACAATACAAACTATTAAAGTATAAAGTCTTATTTATATATAAATATAAAGTCAATGTGTTTAAATATAAAAATATCAAATTACTTACACTTTGCCTCACACCAAAAAAGAATCTTGAGGACCAGATGACTCAAAACATGCTAGCTCATTCAAATACAGAGCAAAGCAATCAACAATGCACTATCGAATCTTAAGTGGAGCGGCAATGGACACCATATTTTCTCTTGGAACTAGAAACTTCACCCCAAAAGTCACAAGGTTCTCACTGTAACGATAAAAGATAAGATAAGCATTAAAAAAAATCAAGGAAAAAAAAACGGATAAAAAATATTTATGATAGAAAATGACACTTAACTTCCTATGCATTGATTCATCCTTCAGCAAACAATAATCAAGAACTTCCAAATGTAACTGAGGCAAACTGTTGAAAATCCGAGCATTACCCCTCATATAAAGAGTCCCAAAAGGCACATTCTGACTTACAAGCCCATAGTCCATTGAGCATAGAGATTTATTGGATCTGATAATACGTCCAGGAACATTGTCATTAGCTCCAGGAACATCGTCATTAACTCTAGGAACATCGTCATGATTACGTGGTTCAGGACCATACACTTCACGAAACAACTCATGTGCAGGCTTCATCTTCATACACTCCACAATTATACCATCTAAAAGCTTATGGTAATGAGGATCATAGAGTAACTGTTGAGTTTGAGAAACTGCAACAGGATCCTCAAAAGATAATGAAATAGTTCTTTCATAAAGAACATTGAAAACCAAATCACTCAAGGTTTTAAAACCATTTAACTGAACACTTGAAAAAACATCCATATTTCTTTTAAGCAAAAGAAATGATTCATGACAACCTACAAACAGAGAAACAAAGAAGAAACTAAACAAATGTGACAAAGAAAAATAATGAAAAATTTACTGAAACTGAATATTTAGGGTAACTTTAGTGCACATAAAGGGTAACTTTACTGCACATAAAGGGTAACTTTTGTGCACATAAAGGGTAACTACTAAACATATAAAAAAACACTTACATTAGTTGAAATTTCTTTATTTCATCATCAGTCATCACACCTTCTGGAAGCTCAAATTGAACAAAGCGGCCAATTGTACCACTTGAAGAAGCACCACCAACTTTTAAACCACCCTGATCAGATTCCAAAGTAAGAGGTTGCTTAACAACATATTTGCTTATAGCAGGCTGTGACAAAGGATATGTAGAAGTATCCAATGGTCCCTGCCCAAAACCACCAACTTTAATCTCTAAATTAATCCGACTCTTAACCTTAGCATCTGTCTAATGTTGAATCAAAGGAAGGCTACAACTTTCCTTTTCTCCTTGAAAATTTAAATAGTGAAAATACAGAATTTGCAAAACCAGCAAATATTCACTAACACTTTGAACAGTTAGATCATTGTTATACTTATTAACAGACTTCTTTAACTTCCTCAAAACATAAGAACACCAATCAAAAGTTTTTATTTCATCAACTTCTTCAACAGCCTTTAGCAACTTCAAAGAAATAGTCCTATTAGGAGTAGCATCTAAAAAGCTAGACATAGCATGAACCACAAAATACCTCTTAACTTCTACCCCTCCATCAACCAAATCCTTCATCCGAGACTCCAATTTTGACAAAGGAATAGCTTGCTTATCAGAAAGATCAAATCAGATCTCCATGCTTGAATAATACAGTTGTCTACACTTGCCACTTCAGCATTTTTCTTCAGTTCAAGAATAGGAATATTAGTCATAGTTAAACAAAACACATCACACACATCATTCCTA